CCTGCTGAATGCGTAGCGCCGCCGCATTCCGTTGTTTCTTCTGTCAGAATGGTCTTCCCGCGGTGGAGTCCACCCCAAAGATGAGCCCCTTCACACTCTTTACGAGAAGTGTCTCTGCTGGAGGTGTTGGACTCCAGGCAGTGCTGTCCTGGAACGGCGGCTCTTTTTGGCCCGAGTGTGTGACTGACAGGGGCGCCCAGGAAAGCTGGGCCGGTCTGCATACTTCATAGACTTTTAGACGGCCCTCTAAGGGTTAGCGTTCCAACGTAATCGTATACAGGGTGCTTGATTTTGAGAGTTCCCTAACAGGTTACTAATTATAACTCCTAAAGAAGCAACAGTGGCAATGGTTACTGATAAACGGGCTGTTTTAAGAAGTTTTTTTAAATCACTTTCCAAAATGAGTTTTTCTTCTAGGACATGGAAGCTTTTCTGTCTTGCGTTAAATGAGAAACCAGAACAGGGAGTGCAAAAGGAAAATGTTAGCTTAGAAGTTATTTCTTTTGGGGTGTGTTCTGAAAAAAATCTCTCTTTTATTTATTAGGTTATTATCCAGGGTTTTCGAAGTTATAGAGATCAAACAATTGTAGATCCCTTCAGTTCAAAACATAATGTTATTGGTAAGTGTTCATGGTTTACTAGATCAGATTTATGTCTCTACAGCCGGTTAAATCCTGCCTGTGTTTAGGCTTAAGGAGACAGGAATTGTCTCTGAATATTACATAAATTTATGTGTATTTTTTTATATATGAAATTACTTTTCTGTTTTTTGTCTGCACTGATGAAATTGCTTCCTTTATACGGTTAAGATACTTGAATAAGACAATCATAAATTACTCATTTTTATTTGGTAGCCTCGTATGTGTATGTTTTGACAGATTTAAATTTATAGTGAATGACACTAAATTTAGCATTTCAGCTCTTCTTGGTGTGTCATTTTCTAGTTAAAATGGACACTTGCCTTATTTCAAAGGTGACCATTCTTTGTTCACAAATTAGATTGTTCTCAGATTTTTTTTTATTTCCTATTATAATGTCTAAGGACAGACTACACAGGTTGGTGGGAAGAGCATAAACTTTGAATTGTAACAGAATGGGGTTCAAATCCCAATTCTGCCATGTATTCTTCAAACTTGACTTCCTGAGCTGCTTAGTTTTCTCATTTGCAGAGTGGAAATAATGATATACATGTCATGGGGCTGTTGGGAAGATTAAATGAGAAGGCAGTTGTGTGAGGACAAGGGGGCTAATGGTGATTGCCTTTCAGTATAATAGTTAATCTATAGGTTCTTCAGATGATAAGGTTCCATTTTGCTCGTACAGACTGCAAAAGTGTTTTCTGACACTCTGCTGAGTTTTTAAAGGGTAGGTGAAATGAGTGCTTCTAGACACCAGAAAAGCAAAGATTGCTATTGACATAGATTTCTGCTACCGTGCCCTTACAGAGTTTACTGGCATGCTAGTCAGCTTGGTCTACCATAACAAAATATCGTAGACTAGGTGGCTCAAACGACAGGGATTTATTTTTTCACTGCTCTGTAGGCCTCCCTCTCCATCATGCTCACAGGACCTTCTTTGTTAGAGCCTCTCCCTCACCCTCTTACAAGAGCACTGATCCCACCATAAAGGCCCCACACTCCTAACCTCACATTAATTACCTTCCAAAGACCCCCTTCTCCAAAAAGCTTCACATAGAGGGGTTAGGGCTTCAGCATATGAATTGGGTGGGGCGGGGACACAATTCAGTCCATAGCATGGGTGAGGTGAGATTCATAGAGAAATCAGCAAAGAGTGAACAGTGAATACTGATGTTCCCAGAGAAACTTGGAGAATCATACTTTATTTTGAAATAAATAAATATATAATAAAATTTAAAAATTGAGGGCAAGGAAAAAACCTGCCCTTGGTACATCAATTGCAACTTTGTAGTTGGGAATAAAGAAAACATACTTTTCCCTCTGCCTTGCCTACTGGAGAATCATTAATTGAATTGGTGTGCCATAAGGGTAGCTTGATTGTACTAGAGTTTTACTTACATTTTGATTATAAGTGCCTTCTGATTTTCGTCAATAAAAAAATCTTTAGAAACGGAGAAAAATGAATAATCACTAGATTTATATTATTTCCTTAACTTACAAATTAAAAGTGGATAAATATCTTAATATGTCAATTGTATACAGTTGTCCCTTGGTATCCTGAATGCTTGTATAAAACTTGTTACAAAAATCTTAGTGTTTTTGCATATAACCTAAGCATATCTCTAGATTACTTATAATACAATGTAAATGCTATGTAAATAGTTGTAAATACAATATACCTGCTGTGTAAATAGTTGCCAGCTTGTGGCAAATTCCAGTTTTGCTTTTTGGAACTTTCTGGAAAGTTCCCCTACCGCCCCCACCCGGAATATTTTCAATCCGCAGTTGGTTAAATCCCCAGGTGTGAAGCACAGGGATTTGGGATTTGGAGGACTGACTGTAGTTTTATAAATGAACTGTAAAATGATGGCCATTATTACTTAGAATGATTAAATTATTTTTTTAGGGCCTATCAAGTATTTTTGTTTTAGCTATTATCAGACAACTGTTTTACTACTTTGGTTGCAACATTAAGATTGTTAATAGTAAGGACATTATGTAAATGTTCTTTCCTTTTAACTGAAAAAACATAATAGGACTTTGTTTAACATATTTTAAAAATAGGTCCCTTAATCATATAAGAAAGACCAAAAATAGTATACAATGAGATTGTTCCTAAAAATGTCTTTTGAAAGCTTACCACTTTGATTGTTTAATGATTTTGACCCTTAAAAAAACACAAGATTTGAAGGCAGATACCTCAGGTGCTGATACTTGAATGTTTGATGTTTAAGTGCAAGAACCATAAACCTTTTAAAGTTTACCTTTTTCCTGGCCTTCTAACAAAAGAAATATACGTGAAGTTATAGAACATAAAGAGCATAAAAGCTAAAAGGACAAAATTTAAACTGTAATCCTTCTCCCCAGAGCTAGCTGTGGTTTCCTGGAAAACAGAGCCCGAGGCCTGCTTAGCTGCTAAGGCTTTAATGGGAGGGTGCAGTCTGAGGGCAAGGGGTTGTGGCGGGTAGTGGTCATAGCTTTATAAGGAAGATACACCTGGTTTGCGGTCACATTGGATAACTTACAGACAGACTTTGTAAACGCACCACAGCTTGGAAAGCTCAGGTGGGAGAGGTATGGAGAAGATTTTATGTGCTGGCTTCTGTCTCTCTTTGGTCACGTAGGGCATT